TAGTATTTGGCAGTATGGTATAAAGACATGTCGAAAAGCCCTCGTCATTTCCGGGTCAGGTTCAAGTTAATCATGGCGGTAAAACTGCAAATTCCCCGAAAAAGTGCTTGATTGGATGTATTAGACGAATGATTACACAATTGATCATGATGGATTATTTAATTACAATTCAAACCGAAGCTATCGCCGCAGATCGCTGAAAAAAATAACAAAAGTAAGTGTTGGAAATCTTCATTTGAAATTTGGCGGTACCGGTAGTGCTCTGACGAAGCTTCTTCCCTTGTGTATGTTTATGTGTGTTGTGACCCATATCAGTATAGCATATGTGTGTATTTCAGACATTTGTAACGTGCCCCTGTGGGCAGACCCGTCATGGTACTAACTGTCGGTCTAGAATCACGTGATTACGGTGTCCCGCGAGAGTGGCCATCTGTCCGTGACACCAGGTCTAACAAGTCGAGTTATGTGGAAAATAACTGACAATACTAACGTCACATCCCTACAGTATAACCTGAACACATAACGTCATTAAACGACTACTTATTTCCGGAAACAGCCATTAATATAGTGTACAATTTCCGGGGAACTGATATTTCCTGAAGGTGTGACGCAATTATTACGCGCCTCGGAATGCCACGTGATGATTCCCGCCTTCCGGTCCCACGCTGGGAATCGTATTACATTATATCTGGTGGGTGGTAATGGCCGGCTTAGTCATGTTAACATGTTTAGTGCTGTTGACAGAATTCAGTACATACATTTCTAAACAACAGGGATCATGATTCATTCTTACTTATCATTTAAGTATCTGAGATATTTAAATGTAAGTACGAGTGGTTTAATTAAGTTAATGGAGATATCATTTTCCAATGTCTAAGTCATGATTACGTTCCGCTTTTGTACTAGAACTCCGAAGAGTATATTCAAGTGAAACAACAATAGCATTCAAATGGTTAGTTCATAAATTAACATACGAAGCTCAGTTTTCGATAATGTTTGCAATTTTACTCGAACATTTTGGCGATGGTACGAACAAGTGCAGCAAATAAGAGGCATAGTTACTCTAGACCGATGGTGCTGCACATGAATGATGACCTTCTTGGTGGAATGAAATATAACGAAAGGCGACATCTGAACTGATAAGATGAATCTAAAGCTGTCACACTTTTTGTACTTTCAGTTGGGTGCCTGTTGGGAACAGAAATGGCAGTCGTATGAGCACGTCTACACCCCCTCTACCAAGTCTGACCAGTTCTAACGCCAGTGACAGCCAACAGAGTCCCATAAACCGGAACACGTTACCCAGATACTCCCCGCGCGACATGTCGTCATCGGGGAACAACTCCAACGTCACTTCCCCTACGGAACCATGTGACGACACCATGGGACGAGGCCGAAGACATTCGTGGCAAGGTCATGGATACGGTCGACTCTCGCCAAAACGAGTTAGTGTGCTACGTCACGACCCCATTACTGGGACGACGGAAGCGGTGCTTGTTGACAATGTTCCGAATGGAGACTCAGGTAAGCAAGCAGGCAAAATACTATGGTTGTACTGTGTGGGACTCCCGTACACTACACTGTTTTTGTTCATGTTTTGTGCTCATTTAACATATATTTACGAAAGAAATAAGACATTCAATTTTTTATTGAATAGTGGACGCACGAAAGCTACGAGTTCCGAATGACGTTGATACCCAACTTGTCTGATGCTCGTAAGTCATACCGTGCAGAGTCGGTGGGTTTAAATCGTTATTCTGTTAATCGCATAATTTGCTCCTCAAGAGGACCAACGGCGATATATCATCTCAATTATCCACCAATTTTGAATGGTGGTATCAAACTGCCCATTCTAAAAGGACTCGTTCAATTATTGATATGTTAAAACGCACGCAATGCACGTGAGCTCATCGAAAATTGATCAATGTCCAACTATGTCACGTGCGCTATGACATTGACTACGATTTATTCGTGATTGTTTTTGAGAGAGATTTACTAGCCACACGATGTTGACTACGACCAATACTTTACCATATGCCTGTCCGATGACATCGAGGGAACCCCGCCGTATCATATCAGACATACGCTCCGTCATCCGTGTCAGTTTACACAACCCCAAACAACAAGACAGGTGTCTATGAATACGGCTAATGGTTCTAATAACTCGACATAATCAGACAGAAATAAATGGCAGTAGCTTTGTCATTACTGCACGTGTTTAATAGACGTTCTGGAATTCTACACCTTCATAACCAGAAATATTGATTAGTCCCTGAGAATAAAACTAACCTCCTCCAAGCTTTGGAATGAATATAGAATAATTATATCTTGAAATCTTGTCGAGTAATTAAGTTAATTAAATTATGTGAACCCATTCGTAAAATACCGGATATATTTAGATTTGAAAAAAAACAGAAAGAAAAAAAAATGACATCTGCTGTAGATCGATCAGTTGAACGGGTTACGGAGGAGAGAGGGGTGGGGGGTGGAGGGCGGTGGGGGGCACAACGACCCGCTATACGTTTCTGCTACACGATTGTGTAGGGGTTCGAGCCAACATGTTGATCTAAAGTGCTCTTCTCAAAGTTATCTATTCATAAAGTTCAAAGGAAATGAAGCACATGTCGATGTCTAGCGTGTGGTCTCTTCAAGTGCATATGCAAATGCAATTAAATCAATGCGCAACAGCAGGTGCGTGGACGCACAATGCACGTGTCTCCAATATTTTAAAGTTTGGGAAGCTATACACAATTGAAATTTGCAAAACAGTTTAATTTTGAATAGGATGTTTAATTATATAAAACTTTATTTCTATTTAAACAATGTTAAAGAGTAGTCATAGTATAAGTAATAGTATTATTTGGGTCGACTGCAGTTATAAAGATCGTGAATGAAGCTTTAACATTAATATTGTATAATTAATCAATATAAAATTATCTGATCTTGGGCTGGGAGCTGATACAAGCCTCGGGTATTGTGTAATGGAGTAACTAATTAATGGACAATTAATTTCCTGTCCTGACGACTGCGTCATGGTCCTACTCGCCAGCGTCTACAGATAACCTTATCGTACATGTTCGCCTCGTGTAACACAACGATGTTAATTCAAGTTTCAAGTACAATGTATGGCGTATCTGTTACCCGGGAAACGGTACAACAGCATCACATACGGGACACAGTGCACGTGCTGAAAATCACAACAAATATTGGTCAATAGTCCACAGTGCTAATGTTGAAAGTAGATTAACACTAGACTGACTATGAGCCTCCACGTTTTCTGAAGAATTTTCCTGCTGCATTTTACTACTAACTTATGAAGAAAATAGAATCAGACATCCAAGTAATCAGATTTATTAGAGTATGATTTTTCTGAATAATTAAATATTCTATAGACAAGGCCAATCTATGGTATAACCAACACATCACAAATGACATACGTACACAGAAATTGGACAACGGACAATTTGATTATATCATTTGCTTTTGATTATTGTCCCATGATAGACTCTCGGGTAAAGGTTGCCATAAATGATGACATCACAACTACTTCTCGTTTCTCGTTTCAATGCGTTTGTCGTATTCAATTCTACGCAAAAGAAATGTTCGTCTTTTAAAATTAAATCCTAAGGAATGACTACTGTGTATGGATCCAAGACTTAGGGCAACGATTTAGTACCTCACCTCGACCTCCGTGTTATTGTTTCAGATCAGATAACATTTTTTCTATCCTTTTCTTTTGATACATACAAAACAACAATTCACAACAACAATAACATGAAACTTACCGTAGGAGAAATTGAGAGCATACGATCTCAATTCCCCACTAACTACAAGGTCATTTATGTAATTTGAATATTGAAATAACCCATTGCTGCTATTAGGTCATCATGACACAACGACCAAACGCGTCAAATAGGATCAGAACTCAATATAACAGCTCTGACCGTGAAAATGGAAGAGCGATGTTACAGGTTGTCATGGGCTACCAATGGATCGAACAGCAGCGGACGTTACTAAATTAAACGATCTAGATGGCATTGGATCAGTAAGAAATCACCTGATTTGAACGTTTAATGGTTACATATGAATATTTTGTTGTTGTCTATCTATTTAAAGAATTCGCTTCTGTTTTTTGGCTTGTACCGACCACTTTTACAAGTAGATCTAGACTGGTATAATTGATATGCACCTTATAATTATTACAGCTTGTCATCATTTGTAACGATGGTACACAATGATTTGCGTGAAAGTCAAATAGGATTTGTACCGTTCAATATTTACGAGACGTCTTTACTCTCACAGACATACACATGCAGTTTATATCCAACAACGTTAATTAAAAATACGCCGGAAAATTCTGTCACTGCAGTTGCCGTATCATATTCCGGATCTTGGAAGTCCGTCTATCCATTTATCATACACTAATTATACACTTCCTGACAAGCCTAGTTGGGATGATACATTTCTCCATCAATATTGACCAATACAATTTGACCAGTGGGTGACCCGGACTTTCACACCCCTAGTAATCTCGAGTCGTTAGGGGCTTTATTACCGGTCCTAATGGGAAACACGTGCAAGTGTGTGGAATTCAACATATCTTGACTGTACCGACCTGACAGTTCCGTAGATATAGCCATAAAGTCAGTTCTTATCAAAATCGCACATATGTTTAGTATTTAAATTTTGTGTGGATTTGTGCTGAAGCACTTTTTTTAAACAATTCTAAACCGTTGCGAAAAAATAAAACGAAACACAGCCGATCAAAAATCAACGCTGAAAATTAGAAGTAATCACTCCACACGTTTCTTAATGATGTCATCATGCCAATATATGGGGTCCATGTTTGGAATCTCTTCAACAGGCGTTTGTAAAGAAAAGTAAAGAAAACAAACTACATCGTCAACACACAAGGACAAAAATCATAGTGCGTCGACACTCAAAGATTAAATTTAACCCAGTGTCAGAGCACATAGGTCAAAGGTCAACAAAGCTCAATCAACATCTATGTAGTTCATGGAGCCATCAACAGATGTCATTCACTGGGGTATGACCGTTATACACGAGATGAGGGTCCACCTTTCGTGACAGTTAATAACAAAACAATAACAAAATCTAAGGTTATAGATTTATCATAACTCAGTGTATGTGTAATATATAAAAACTATTTCACGAAGAACTATTTTCATCTAAAATAAATGTCCAAATTTCAGATTTGAAAAGTTCTCCAAAAAACGCTCAGGTACGGTTTGGCCAGATGTCCAACATTATCTTTAGTAGACTTCGATTCATCTGCGTGAAATGTTTCTTCTGGAATGGAGCTGCTTAACCGCCAAGAAAAAAATCAACATGATACTGTATTAAAATATGCATCGTTGAAGAAACTGAAACAAAGGAAGAAGAAAAATTTTCTATCCATCAGTAGGTACACCAATATCAAGTTTCGTATAGCCAACTTGTGGACTTAATAGATTTAATGTATTTTGCTCAGTGGTGGGCTGTGGATGTTTTGAAGCAGCGCTCGTCAATATCAAAGAGACAAGACTATTCAGTGAAGAATAAGTTACCAGTAAATTTCCACTGATGCCCTATAGATTATACTTATGACTTTTAATGAACACAAAGTAGCGCTCCAAGGACATTCTACTTAGTTTCAGATCTTAAGTAGATACACTTGCACGATTAATGGGGATTTGTCTTAAATACCGGGCACGATCGATACCGGTGCAGTCAGCATGCACATGCACACTTAGAGCATATTGCGAAGGGCAACGAGTACACAATAATAAAATTATAAAATACCTACATCGACTTAAGTTCCGGTGTGCTGGTGGGGTATCACAGAGGTACATTTCGGACCTGTCGGGTCGGATATCATCGGGGACGATGTGCACCTTGTAGGGTCTGCGTTAATATTTGTTAAATTTTGGTGGTCTGAAAGACTGCGCTTTTTAAACATTAGCAATACTCCCCCAAACCCACCGTTCTTAATGTATGGTACGTGGACGGTCTAGATACTGGTCAGTAATCGATACGTATCTCTGGACATGGTCGTGGTTAATGTGATAATGGTCGCGTGCAGATGGAACCAGAATTATATTACTAGTTGACCAATTATTTAGACAATAAAGTGGTTTCATACTTACTTAAATAGCTCCCATCTCCAATTGACCCCAAACTAACTTAAACTAGCTTTCTTACTTGCCCAGCTGTCACGTGCAGATGATAACCCTTTCTACTAGGGCAACTATAGACTACTCCCAAGACTCTGTCACGTACAGGGTGACCACATACAATCTAGACTGTCACGTACAAGTGACCCCATACTTTCTAGACTGTCACGTACAGGTGACCCCATACGTTCTAGACTGTCACGTACAGGTGACCCCATACTTTCTAGACTGACACGTACAGGTGACCCCATACTTTCTATAGACTGTCACGTACAGGTGACCCCATACTTTCTAGAATGTCACGCACAGGTGACCCCATACTTTCTATAGACTGTCACGTACAGGTGACCC